TGCACGGTGGGCGTTCGAGGTTGAGTCACAGGAAAAAGACTTGGGCGTGTTCTTCGACACCATCATCGTCTGCGCCGTGAGTGGTTCAACGTTCGCGGGCATGGTGGCCGGCTTCAAGCTGGCCGAGAGGCTCGGGGCGCGCAAGCGCAAGGTGGTGGGGATTGACGCATCGGCCAAGGTGAAGCAGACGTTTGACCAGGTGCTGCGCATCGCGAAGCAGACCGGGTCCAAGATTGGGCTGCAGGAGGGCGACATCACCGAGGCAGACATCATTCTCGACGACCGCTACCACGCTGGCGTCTATGGCATCCCCGACGCGCAGACCATCGAGGCGATGAAGTTTGGGGCGCAGACCGAGGCCTTCATCACAGACCCCGTCTATGAGGGCAAGAGCTTGGCGGGGTTGATTGACATGATCAAGAAGGACGAGATTCCCGCTGGCAGTAATGTGCTGTATGCCCACCTCGGTGGGCAGCTTGCGCTAAATGCGTATACCGCCCTGTGAAACTCAGGTCGATCTCTTGTTCTGTTCGGTGTTGTTGTGGAGAGTGGAGAGGCGCTCGGTAATTTTGTGTTTATCTCGTCGCTCACTTCGACGACTAGGGACAGAAAAATCGCACATGAATGGGTTCGCGCGCAGCCAAAGCCGACTTGGGCCGTCATCTCATTAATAATGAGGCGTCGTCACGGTTGAGTAAAAGTTTTGTTGAGTGATGAGGTGGGTGGGAGCCGGAGACGCTCTTTCCCTGTCGACTTGGGAGGTACAAGGTCAGAGGTGGGGGGATGCTGCAACTTGCAGCAGCTAAGAAAGGCTAGATGCGGGCTTCGGCGTCCCATGCCAACTTTCAGCTCGAGAAAATAAAGCCTCCCCCCCATTTCTCCCTCCTCAATCGCTCTTCATCTTGCCAAATACTAACTTGGGCAGCCAGCTCTCTATTTCTGTTTCCATAAACATTGCAGGCTGGACTCGATCAAGTTTCATCAACCCGTCTGGTTTTTAGTGACCCAAGTGCGACCTTAGGCTCGGCTTCTTCTAACCTTGACCCCCCCACACAGCTTGGAGAAAAATTTGCCTCTCCCAAGAGTCATCTTCAGACCAATCAACCCTGTGGCCAGAAAACGACGATTAGCACGCACTCCCATTGCTTCTCCGTCCCAGTATGGCCCATAGGACGGGGCATCCGCCATTGTTGGGCGATGACAAGGTTCCTCTTGAGGTCAATGTCGCTCCTGACGACTTGGCTCGTCAGGCGCAAGGCCAGGGCCCAGCTGAGCAGGAGTACAGCATCGAGAGGGTTGAGAAAGTCTACAGGTTTGGCAGATTCCTTTTCCCCTGATTCTTTCGTTTTGGCACGAGACTCACAGAGATGGCCAGGAAACTCGACCTACGCATCATCCCAGCCTTCTGGGTTCTGTACTTTCTCTGCTCGGCCATCCGCTCCAACATTGGAATCGCCCAAACCATGAACAAGGAAGTTCATCACGACCTCGTCAGCGTCCTCGGCCTGACTGCCAAGGACACCTCCACCGCCCTGGCCTTGTTCTACGTGTCCTACGTGCTCTTCGATCTCCCGTCCAACCTGATCATGAGCAGGCTGAGCCCCCGGGTCTGGATGGCCCGCATTGTCTTCGCCGTTGGTGTCATTGGTGCCTGTTTCACCGCAGTCCAGTCTGCCTGGAGCGTCAAGTTCCTGCGCTTCCTGCTGGGTGTCGTTATTGCCGGCATGTGGCCGGGAATGTCGTACTATCTCACCTTGTTCTACCCGCCCTCTCGGACCGGTAAACGCATCGGCATGTACTTCACTGCCTCGCAAGTTTCGGCTGCCGTTGTCGGTCTTGTGTCGGCCGGTTTCCAGGAGATGGATGGCGTTGGGGGTTTGGTTGGCTTCCGGTGGATGTTCCTTATCTACGGCATCCTCGGAATCATTCTGGGCGTCGTTCTCCTCTGGTGGCTGCCCGACCGGCCTTTAGCTCCCGGCGAGACACGAGCCAAGAGCCCATGGATGAAGTGGCTTCCTGCTAGCCCGGAGGCTCTCACAGGTGAGGATGCCTTGGTCCACTATCAAGATCTCAAGAGAGTGTATCACGCACGCCCCTGGAATTTCACCGACCTGTGGTATGTGCTTATTGACTGGCGCCTATGGCCCTTGGTACTGATGTACTTTGGGGTTGTTGGCGTTGGCATTGGCACCCAGCTGTACGGAACCGTTATTATCTCCTCCATCAACCCTACCTACACAGGCGTGCAAGTCAGTCTGCTGTTTGCGCCGATCTGGATGGTAAGTGCCCCGGTTGTTTGCCTTGGAAGTGTGGCCGTGCTAACCAGTTCAGATGGACTTCTGTGCGATTCTGTTGGTCACCCCTATTTCGGACAGATTCCACCATCACCGCGCTCTTTTCTTTTCGGCCGCTGTCTGCATCCAAATCGCCGGCCTTCTCACCGTCACATTTGCCCTCACGAACTCGTGGGCAAGATACGGTGGCCTTCTGTTAATAGGCTTTGGGCTTGGTCCTACAGTACCTATTTGCATGACTTGGACGAACGAGATCTTCCAGAGAAGACACCGTGAGGTCGGTGTTGCCGCAGCATCTGCCTTGGTGTCTGGACTCGGAAATCTAGGCAGTATCACTACTACATATGCCTTGTACACCGGGTGGCCCGAAGATGCCGCCAAAGGGCCGTACCAGTTCCGCAAAAGCAACTTCACCATGATTGGTATTCTTTGCCTCAGCATCGCCAGCAGCATCGTCATGACCATCCTCCTAAAGATATTTGGGAACCAGCCAAGCCAGAAAATAGCCGGTGGTGGAAACTTACCCCTCGATTCTGCGGACGAGTTTCAGGACGGTGCTGCTCGTCGTGAGATCCAGCAGCGAGGTTTTGGACGGATGTGGTGGAACAAACAATCCTAAACCACATTCGCGAGCATAAAGGGGGAGTGGCGGATCTATCGAGCGGTCTAACGACAGTCAACCATCACCGCTATTTCTGTCCATAAAGGCAGGCATCTCAATCCCTCAAGGGCGTGCACAGCGTCCTTCTCGGCTCAACTTCACTTCACGACATTCATTCAACAACATTATTCGAACTATCGCAACACCTAACAAAGATATATACGCAGCGCGTCATATCCCAATATGGCGTTTACATATTATGTCTTTTCATTCGAGGAAGGCAAACACGCTCCCGCCCTAGCCCCCAAGGCGAAGGGCTGGCTGGGGGGACACGGGAGCCCTCGAGCAATGAGGCTGGAATCCTCGACAGCGACAGTGCCCTTGCGCCATTGCTGGGAAATGGCGTAATAGGGAACTCCGAGGCGAGCCGGGCGACAATGCTTCAGCGCTATCGCCTATGGCTCAATTCTTGGGAGTTGACAAGGAAAAAAAAGGAAAGAGGTGGATGTGGTTTTTTGCTTTCTTTTATTTGTTTTGGCTTTTTGGCTTATGATACCCCATCTGTGTTTGGATACGCTGTCACGTCCGAGGTCTTCGCCACTCGACAGCGAAAGTGCTTCTACGCCATCGCTGGGACGGCGTGCTGGACCGAGACTAGGCTGGCGACAATGCTGTTGCGCTATCGCAGTGCCTGTCTCGTGGGCGTTTGCTGTTATTGCGTCTTTCTCTTTGGCCCCCTTCCCTGCTTGGGTGGTTGGGCTTCAAAGAACATATTATCTCTCCTGTAGACAGGGGCTGGCTGGTCACTCTTTTGTCGTGATTATCCTCTCTGGCCATGGTTCCGCCGGCCGAGAGTGACAGAATTGAGTCTTTCCCCTCACTTTCCGTTCCCGTTTAAACTGTCGCAGTGTGATGCGCTAGGATAGTTTGACGTGCGGAGTGACATGGTGCTCAAGACCGTATGTGATGGGATAAGTGTCGCCCAGTAGGGATACCAACAACCTGGAAGAGTGGTGATGTGTTTGGAAGCCCAGGGATATCGCCTCTGGCCAGTAGCTCCTGCCGTCACAAAAACAAACAGCACGGATTCTGTAACTAATTCTCAGGGCAGGGCAAGCAAAAATGTTGAGGTCAAAGACAAAGGTCTTGCTCGATCGCTCGAGAAGTTGACCATCGGTAAGGAGGTGTAGGCTGCTCTTGAGCCCCTGAAGGCCCTCACATATACCACAAATGGGGCCTGACAGCTTATGGGACGGAGGTCAGAAAGGATTATATACGCAAACTGGGGAGCGAACTTCTTTTTCTACCCGCGGCTTTGTTCCTTCACTGCCGTCTTGACTGATAGAAGCTTAGATAGGGGAGGGAATCGCCAAGAACCGGACCCCTATAAGTGTGTGGCTTGTTGGTGTTCATTGGATTTGATATCCGGGCAGCTTGAGAAGGAGTTCTCCGTCACAAAGCCTCTGCTAGCTCAGGAAAAGGACAAGAAGTGAGTCAACCTTCAACGCCTTCTCTATGAAGCAGCCCCATCATTTCTCAACATAGTTTGTTATTATAGATGGTCATGATGCCTTGCTGAACAATTACATCTGAATTTACGCAACCCAAGCCCTCTCACAACTCTTTATCTCGGAACTGTTTGTTCTTTTCTACATCCATTACACGTCTGTGATCGAGAGGGGAGAAGGAACGGTGGGTGGACCTGGAAACCGCTGTCCAAGCAGAAATGGCGATCGTTTGATGAACGTGCCAATCCCTGAAGGGAAAGCTACAGCAAAATAAGAATGCGTCACTTAAATAACAAAGACCTTTATTGTCGACACTTCCATCAATGAATGTGAGTTCCATTCGTAGCATCAAGAGAGCTAGGAGGACTGCGGCCCGTCCCCCGCCCCACCTTCTCCTTTCAGAGCCCGGGGCCATTCTTACTGGCTCGCTTATTTGGCTCCAATGTATTTCACCGCCGCGGGCAAAAAAGAGAAAAGAAAGAGGGTGAAACGCTCGCTCCATCAAAACCTGAGCAAAGAATGGAGCCTTTGGAGACATCTCTCATCGTCAGGCCAAGGCCCACGATTGAGCTTATAGCTCCATCTCAAATATCATCAGGCCCGCTGGCCAAATGGTAAGGCGCCACATTTCGGATTCAGTTCTGTGGAGATTATGCGTTCGAGCCGCATGTGGGTCGAGATTTATATTTTTGATGTGACCGTACCGGAAGTGTGAGCAGCTGGTAATGTACGGCTGTTGTGTTGTGTTTCTTTTTGTGCATGTGCCCTGTGTTTGTCGGATGAGTAGGGTTTTCTTTTTTTGGCCAAGCCTTTTTGTGCGGAGATCAAGAAATTGACATCAACCCAGATGTCGAACACGGTAGGGCTTGGCGGGTTGTCTAAGAAGTCATGCGGGTGTAAAAGGACAATGGTTGCTTTTCACGCTGGCTTCATGAGACTGGACAGAGATAGTAATGCACCCTGGCCGAAGGTTTTTTGTTTGGTGGACTGGAACGGATATTTGCCTTTGATGAGAACCGTTCGGTCTAGAAATCCCAAGCAACCGAGCGTGGCGCGGCTCTTGCGGCTGGAGATGGTGAATCATAATTCACGAAGACCCTCCAGTGTATTGATTGATCTTGCATGCACCAATCAAGACACAACGGCTTTTTAATTCGAGGCGGTTGTTTGCATTGCCGTGGGCCATCGTAGACACTGAGGATGGCTACCCGGTCTCGCCCCGGACCGGTATTGATGATTGACTGGCCGAAATAAGGTTCATCTGGTGTTGGCTGACGACATCATCAACTTAATGAATTCGGTATTTATGGATTTTATTGTTGGGGCGAGAAGATTAGCTAATTGAGTATAAACAGGATGCATATTCAACAGTGAATAATATCTGTCTGCATGGGTGGCTATTGTGCAGCAGAAGTGGTCGTTTGAGAACCAGCCTGGCCTTTATTCACGACACTTCTTTTACCCAGCCTGGCTTGGCTGTCACATGTCTATCGCTGACTGTAAGGCACTGGTTAATATTGAAATATCGAGGCTATAAGATATTAGTGTGTGGGCGACCTAGCCTTGCAAGGGGTTTGCTGCATAACAGATCAAGTTTCAACTAACAATTCAATTTGAGTGGAACGCGTGAAAGTACCGCGGTACCGTCTCGTGCCTGCCTAGAGGATACCCGACGGGAAGTAACGCGACAGATTGGATGCTGATAACGTCAACGTCTTCCTGCCGCCGAACAACGTGCATCGTCAAGTCGGCTTCGCTCTGCTGAATATTTCCGGCACGCACCGAATCTTATCCCAATTCCCTCCTTTGCACATCGCCAACAGTCCATTGCCACCTGCGTGAGAGATCAGATGCTGCCGATGACCTGCAGCGCACGTCCGGCTGACCAGCGCCCGAAGATTCAGTACTAAGATAGCGCCTTGTCACTGCGGACACCCACGCACGACAGGGATCATTCGAATCTTAGCAACGGGCGAAAAAAAAAGCAAAGAAGACGAAAAAGGCTCGATCCAACGCCTTTCGCAGGGAACAGCCAAGACCGCAGGCGGATTACAGATTGCAGAGTGCACACTGCCGACAGCTGTCTCCGCCCGACGAAAACCACACCACAACCACACCGAGGACTTGACCGCTCAACCTCTATTTCACCCACCTCTACCTCTCAACAGGTGCCTAACAACTGGGAGATTCTATCCCTCCTGGTCACTTTCAACTCGACTTGTGACGTGATCTAGCCAAGCATTTCGAGACCTGCCGACCTGCCGACCTGCCGACCTGCCGAGCGACCGATCGAACGAACTATCGCGACCCTACGAAAGCCCACTTCCGCAGCCACTGACGCATCCCCAGCCGCTGGACCACTTCATCGCCGACCGCCATTTTTAATTCCGATAGCTGCTTCCACCCCGTGACCTCTCAAACGACGGCACACCGCAGCGCCCCGTGACCCCGTACCCGTCGCTTTCGATACCTTTATCGGTCCTCTGCGCGACGCCTCAAACAACAGAACAGGCGTTGCCAGCACTGCGCGCTCCTCGCTGGACGCGGCAGCGGGCGGACACCCCTCGCTTGCTGCAATCATGTGGTGGATCTTTACCGCCTTCTCGAGCGCCATCTTCCTCCTGAGCATCGTTCTCTCAGTCCCCATCGCCTTCGATGTCGGCGGCCGCGACGCCGGCCTAGCCTTTTCGCTCTCGCTCTTCCTCTTCTACATATTCTACAGCGCCAGCAAGCTCCTAACGCCCGAGAAGTCGCGCGTGCGTGCCTTCTTCACGGCCCTGGTTGGCTTGTCACAATGGATCGTCATCCCGACCCTTCTTATCTGGTCGCTGAATCGGTTCTCGGTCGATGCAGAGAGCACCGGCTGGGTATCGCGCACTTTTGCCCAGGTCACGTCGCGCCATAAGCCGAGTTCCTGGAGCGAGTGGTTCTTTGGACAGGAGGGCCTGTTGGAGACAGTTGCTCTTGGCGGATGGGATAACCTCTTGAGCTATTCGAGCCCGGTATTTCAACTGCTGGAGGGCTTCTGCAGTCTGCTGGTCATACAAGCGGCCGGCCAGATCACACGATGGCTCGTCAACCGCGGCAGGAGTGACACCTGGGTGGTACGTGAATTGCTTCTCGCTCGTATCCTGATCTTTTCCCAAGGCTAATAGTTCGCCAGATAATACTTCTTGTCTTCTCCGGCTCTATCATATCGAGCGCCGTGTACTTCCTTTGGCGTGTTGCGCGCTTCCCACAGGTCAACAACCTCGATGCCGCGCTCATTGGGGTCACCGTGACCTCTGCAGTCTTTCTCTGCGCCTACGGCATCGGCAGCGGACGAGGCAATCCTGTCGAGTCCTCATTGCTGTTTGCCTACATCGTTCTTTGCGTCTACCAAATATTTACCGACTACATGCCGTCTGCGGAAGCAGCAGCGATAGCTGAGCAAGCCGCCGCGGCTCAGCCAGATTTCCCGCCGCTACCCCCGATCATCATGGCTTCCTACTCGACCCTCATCCACATGCTCAGCAGCCTCCCATCTGCCGTAAACTCGTCATTGCAGTTTCTCTACGCCGCGTTCCAGACCATCACCCCCAGCGTCATCATCTCGCTGACATACCGCATCATTGTCTTCTATGGCGCAACGCGCATCATTCCGGCTGTCAGGGAGCTGGGGGCAAAAGCTATCATGGATGAGCCGAGCTTGGAAGATAACGATGGAGCGAACCGCCTCCTCGGCTTCCTCAGCTGGTTTGCGCCATCCATGTTGATCGCCGTATACACCAGTCTACTTCTGCAGCACTTTAGCGTCTCCAACAACGGCGAGGATGATGGCTGGACGCTGCGCGCTGGGGATTCGGGAAGCAACCCCTGGCGCTGGATCAACATCGCCGCCACCATGGGTCTCTACGCCGTTGAGCTATATCTAGGCGGCGATGGTGACGAGGGTTCTCATTGGAAGACGGATTAAGTCAGTCGCTGAAGCCAACACGGGCGAATGGAACGTCTGCGTTTCTCCGCGGCTCGGCATCTAGGCACCTACCCATCTATCTTGTCCCGAGAACCCGGTGCCGTGGCATGGAACTCTTGGAATATGCAGGGTTTTATCATCCGGGACCAAGGGAGGTTGCTAACTAACATAACGGGGAGAATAGGGGGTACACACAGTGGGAGTGCGGTGGATTTCGGCCGATTCTCGATTTCAGGGGGGAAGGGATGCAGGACGCTTGATACCCAGAGAGACTTGAAGATGGTGTTGGTCGATTGGTTGGTTGGGTGGCTGGCCGGCCGCGAAAAGACAGACACAGATACGGACAAAAGCACGTGTCCTGCCATGTGGGTGGAGCGAGGCCGACCACAAGGCCAAGGACGGAGTGAGATGGATAATGGAAAGCTACCCCAACCAGTCGACCTCTTACTGGACGATATGATATTTTCTTTTTTCTAGTTGCTTTTCTCCGAGAGAGAAATTATTTATTAGCGAATCAAAGAACAAAAACATATATACCCTTCGACCATGACCACTGGGGACGCTGTGGCAGGACCTGGCGGGTTCCATTTGGAGGAAGACCTCGGCCGGGAGAGTTTTGGACAGCTGATGAATGGACAGGAAGGCAGTATTCCCATTGAGTCGGCAGTGGAGTGTCATTCACACAGATGTAGACCTCCACACGCAGAAACACGGCGAGAAACAGGCTTTCGGAGATGGCCGTGGGGAAGCAAATAGGATGAGGAAGGTATGTGCAATCCTCCTCTCAAAGATAAATGCCGAATAGAAACTCCGCCTATTTGTTATCCGAGTCTCTAGTACATATCTGGTATGCTCAGCCAGTGTTTTTGCTTGGCAGACGGTTCCGGTCTTTGTTTCTTGATGGGCTCGCCGCTATCGAACTCTTGAGGTAGGAGAAAACAAGCAATACTATGAACAAGAAGCGAGAACAAGCACAGCAGGACAGAAGATACCGACGGCCTCGCCTGAAGAAACAACCACAGCGAGGAGGCGCCATCTTCCAATATGCATAGCTACTCCTACCATCAAGTCCCGGCATATAGCAACAACAGGAACACAGCAACCTGAGTCCCCTGCCAAAGTTTCTGAAAAAGAAATGGGTACTAACTTTCTAAGTATGTACGTCCTCGAGAACGGACAACATACTCCCTCGCAGCATCGCACAACGCCTCAAGATGCTCAAAAAGAATCATAAACGGGCCCAACTTCTTCCCCAAACAGCAACAACCCCATCAACCACCCTACCCGGGCGCCATCCCCATCCCCATTCCCAAACTCACCCAACATACCCCTTAAATCAACCCCACCACCACCACCACCACCACCACACCCAAGAACCGCAACCGCATGCCTCAGCACAACCCACCGCCTTGAATCCAGCCCCCCCCCCCCCCACCCACGCAAGCAGCACCAGCACCCCTGCGGCTTGGTCCATGAACGCCCGCAGCTCCGCGAAGACGTGCTCGCTGGCCGTGAGGAGGACGACCGGGCGGGATAGATGGAGCAGGTTCGTCACGAGGAGGGTCTCGGTCCATGCGGCGAGGCGGGTGAGAGTGGTGCGGGGAGGGCGGTGGCGCCGGCCGGGAAGGATGTCATCTGGCTGTGGAGGAGCGTTCGGGCCGTGCGTGTGCGAGTTTGGTGGGTTAGGAGGGCGGCTCTTGTGTGCGGCAGGGGGTTGTGGTG